TATTGTACGTTGAAGATGGACTATCGTGGAGTTCATATCTTTGTGGTCAGTTTGAAAGCAGCTGTAAAGTATTTTGGGAGGACGTATCCAAACTACCTCTCAATGACAAGGCATCGTCGATAATCAAATCTGCCCGTGCACAATTACTTATCATATCACCACAGTATATCGAACTTTACGATGAGTATATTCACAATTTATTGATAAACCCAATTGGGTTTCTCTGTGGTGTGGAAGTGGACTCGGTTGACTACACTGAATTTGTGAAGAGAAATCCAGTATTTACAGAATGGATGTTGGTTTCTGCAACAGATGATATAGAGAAAATAGCATCTGTGGTGTTTCAGGCAATAGAAATGGCTACCCCACCAGACGGTAAGATTGCATTTTTTTCTTTTCCCGGCTATTGTCACTGTGGCAACAGTTCTTGACAGTTGTAATTAGGAATGACCACTTGAAATTCTAATGTTACATTTACGGGTGAATCATCGGAAATTGCGAGGATAGCTTGCAACATATTTAATTTATTGTGACTTGCATTTTTGTGAGGAAAATTTATATGCTAGCTGCTGATCACAATGCTTTGAGATACAAGCTTTATAATTATATGGAGTAAACAATTAAGTCTAATTAGACCAGTGAGTGGAATTTTAGCAAAAAACAAGTATTTGGCTGACACATTTTGTAGTTGAATCATTTCCATTGTTTGACTTTCAACTATTGTGATGATTCTGTTTACTATTAGATTAAAAAATATTAGACAACCACTTTTTAAATTATAATTACTTCACTCTGTAAAATAGCTCAATTTTAGTAACTCCAGTATTAATTATCAGTTAACTGAACATCAAATTACAGGAAATATACAACGTTAAACAAAACAAAAATTGCTCGTGAGTTGAAATTCTGTTAGTTGTATAACGAGTTACAATTAGGGCATGGCCTCGCAAAATTACACATGGTCATTTTTGTAACTCAATGTTTTCGTAACTCGATGTCTGTAATTTGAACAATTCAGATTTCCTGTGCTTATAAAGTTGACAAAGTTCAAAACATAGTAACTATAATTTGCATATGAATGTGTCTGGGTTACGTTGGGGGAAGATGGTCAATGAATTGTTATACTTAGAATACCTTTTAAGTCACAATACAATGCCATGTCATCTTATCAAACAAAAATGAAAGAATTTATTATGATATATCTGTTGAAATTGTTTTTCTTTTATACTGACAAAGTAAATATGAGTGGGCATAATAGAATATGCTTATAAGAAATATAAGGATACGTGTGATTACTGTAAAAGGTTTAATTATTCACTGGGTTGTAATTTAGCTTATTTTGCTGACTGAAAAATGTGCTAAATTAAAACACAGTGACTATGTAAAATTTAGCATTGAACACATTATCTAAATAATAAAACCATGAATTTAAAACCCACTAAATATCCCTCAAATGATAAATCAGCAAAATTTTAACCCAGTGAAAATTAATCATTTTAGAGTACGTGACTGGAATACTGTACAAAACCAAACATACTGGTACCTGTAATTGTAAACCTACAGTTAGTCTTTCCTGTGTATGTCAACATAATTTGAAAGTATAACGTGTTTGATGGAGGTGCCCATATCAAATTCCATTGAAACACTACACAATACTGTAAAATATACTTTATTTCTGCTTGGAATTGATTTTAGCTGAATGATGATTCAGTGGAAATAAAATCCAGCCTAAATATAATTATACCCGTTTTCCTATAGTTTACATTCAACTTTTCACACCGAAAAAATCTTATCAGCAAGAAATTAATTCCATCTGAAATAAGGTATTTTACAGTTACACTGTTATGTTCGTTGTTATGTTACGTTGACAATGAAAGGTATTTCCCTGGGTAATGTTTCTGTGAGAAAATTTTGAGCGAGAAGTTGCATAAAATCTTAAAATTGTAATTTTTTTTATTTGACACTTGAACACAATGAAAAAAGCTATTTATCTGAGTATAGTATGGGCAGTCTACAAGCACCAATTCTTTCATATGATTGCAATTTAAAAAATTAAAAACAATTCAGCCACAAGTCGACCAGAGTGGCATTTTTAATTATACGTTATCGTATCGTAATTATCGTAATTTTTTGCTGTAAAGAAAATAAGACTTTACTTTTCTTTAACTTTATAAATTTCTTTAAAAGTATTTTTATTCCAATGGAGCAATATAGAGCCTCTAAAATGTAAAGCCCTAGAAACTTTTCAAAACAAATGGGGTTTGTTAGTGGCGATAATAATAGAATGACCATTCATTTAAATTACGACTTCTTATTAGATCATATTTATGACTAAGTGTACTTGCTTTTCTTCTTCTTATTTTCTTTATAATATGTTCTTATAATTGTAAAAATGTAAAAAAGGGAAGTCATTTGTGGTGGTCATTTCATAGAATTTTAGCTTACTTCTCTTTTCAATTCTCACTGTCTCCACTATCATGTTACTCTATATAACTATGGTATTTGGAAAAATGGTCACCATGGCGATAAAGAATGGAGCTCTATATTGTGGTGAAAACAAGTCTCCCCTTACTGTCAAAGAGATCTCAGTGACTATATTTGCGAATACCCCAGTATTTAAATGTCAATTTAAAATCTTAACATTTTCCTCAAGTGCTGTATTTCAAATCTTTTTGTAGACATGTATGTAAGAGTTGACAGGCCAGCACGGAAGTCAACAAAGAAAAGCAAATACCCTAGGGATATTGCTAAAAAACTAAATAAAGACAAGATGGTTATCCAACCTTCCAAAGCTTTGTGTGGCGTAAGTTAATTTTCTCCTATACTGTAAGATTATTAAACTTTAAAAGTAAATTTAATATTTTGTAAGTAAGATGTTGAAGTTTAGCACTTAATTAACTGATTTTAGTTTCACCAGCATCTAGTTGTATAAATAAAGTGTGCAATATGTCATCATCTTTATGTACAATTTTTTCACTCTGTGTCACCAGCTTACAATTGAGATATGGCGAACATCTCTACCACAAACACCAATGGTGTAGGTGTTTTAACACACAATGACAACTGTCCATTAAAATACAAAAAAATATTCTGGTATATTGACTAGGAATACAATTTATTGCTAAATAAATCAATTCAGGTTATTTTCATTTTTTAGTAGGCCTCAATGACTAAATGATCAATGAGCTGATTATTCAATGAGAGAGACAATCTTAGACTAACTGATCAATGTAGTACTAAAACTATAAACATATATCATGATGCATGTTACATTTGAACTATTATTTGAACACAGGAAGCTGCTACATTAGTTGTTATTTTAAAAGCAGCCCTTCTCACAGACACCACTACAAAATACACAGTCAAGTTCAAAAGTGCAACAAAAGAAATCGATATGGAAGCAACAAGACTAAATGAATTTACTTTAACTGTGCAAGTCCCACAAGGTAATAATTGTGCTTTTGTTCTGTATAAGTGCTGAATGATCACATGGGAGCTAATGTTGCCATGCAGTCTGTCTGTCTGTCTGTCTGTCTGTCCTTTGCATATAATCTTGTTTAAATCATCTTAGCATCATCCAATCTCTAGTTGCATAATTGTACGTGCATTGTCCACATAATATCATAGTGATTTAATTCATTCAGGGTATGTGTCCCATTTATAGGGATATTATTAATATCATAGTGATTTAATTCATTCAGGGTATGTGTCCCATTTATAGGGATATTATTAATATCATAGTGATTTAATTCATTCAGGGTATGTATCCCATTTATAGGGATATTATTAATATCATAGTGATTTAATTCATTCAGGGTATGTGTCCCATTTATAGGGATATTATTAATATCATAGTGATTTAATTCATTCAGGGTATGTGTCCCATTTATAGGGATATTATTAATATCATAGTGATTTAATTCATTCAGGGTATGTGTCCCATTTATAGGGATATTATTAATGCTAAACTTATTATTGTTATAGAGCTTTATAGCCTGTTTTGATTTCTGAATTAGGTTCTACTATATTACTTTAAGGTCACATATTTATCTGAAGAGAGAATTTAGTATTTTAATAATTAAATGGCATCCACTTAGTTTTCAGTTGGCCAGAGGGAAAACTGTTCAAATGGTTTATTTGAGAGAATTATGTTATTTGATAAAGCAAAAAATATTTTGAGCAGACAACCATGACTGTTTACATTCCTCGCATATATTGATAAAATTTTTACTACCGTATATGTTAAATTTGTGTTCTTTTTTGATGTTTAGATTTTCCACCAGGAAGTGCCATAGCTACAGTTACAAAACCAGGTGTTCTCAGCAGTCTTGGAGAATGTCGCTTCAAATTTGAGGATAAACTAAAACACATCAGTGACTACATTTTGGATACACTCAATCCAATTGATTTTCTATGCCAAGCGATGGAAATATCACCAAGTGACGTGGTTGTGCTAGATAACATTTTGACATCAAACTACAAAAAGAGCATGCCATGGGAAGGACTGGATAAAATGGGCTCAATAGTACATGAAATGCAAGCAGGTGAGTTCATGCTTTTTCCTGTCATCATTTGTAGCAATTTTTTGCATGTTTTAATGTATTTTATGATAATTTTTTTGTAAATTTTTGACCAAATTAATTTCCCATTGACTACACATCAATCAATAGTTTTACTAAAATTACTCAGGTTTATTTTAACAACTAAAAATAGTTCCAAAACACGACGAATGACAATTAGTGTTTCAGGACAACAATGCCCCCTAAGATAGTGGGTTATATCTTTTGTTATGTAAATATATTGATTATATTTTTAAAAAAAATCATCTGTTTTTTGATCCTCCTTGCATCAGTATTGGCTTTTTCAGAAACCTGTGACTTTTTAGTCCCCGTTCGGACGCAGTTCGAAAACGGGGACTTATGTTTTGCCCTGTGTGCGTCCGCCCGTGCGTCCGTGCGTCCGTGATCACCTGTATCTCGAACATGCATGGACCGATTAAGTTCAAACTTCACTCATACATCACACATTATATGGGACATATGCACATGCATTTTTTTCATGATCCGATTAACGATAGCCGAATAGCGGCCATTTTAAGGCCGAAAATGCATCAAAATCGCACATTTTCACCATTCCGGACCCAGATCTCAGTTATGCATGGACGGATTTTGTTCAAATTTGGTACATACATTAAACATAAAAGGACCTTGATGCACGTCATTTTTTTTTTTGGATCGGGTTTGAAATGGCCGACTGGCGGCCATTTTGTTTTAAAGAATTCAGTTCTGGATCTGTATCTGAGACATGCTTGGATTGATCGAGTTTAAACTTCACACACACAAGGTACATCATGTCACAAATATGTACATGTATGTGCATTTGTTTCATGATCTCATTAACGATAGCCAAATGGCGGCCGCTTTAAGGCCGAAAATGCATTGAAATCGCACATTTTCACCATTCCGGACCCGGATCTCAGTTATGCATGGACGGATTTCATTCAAATTTGGTACATACATTAAACATAATAGGACCTTGATGCACGTCTTTTTTTTTCGGATCAAGTTCGAAATGGCCGACTGGCGGCCATTTTGTTAAAGAATTCAGTTCTGGATCCGTATCCAAGACATGTCTGGATTGATCAAGTTCAAACTTCACACACACATGGTACATCATGTCACAAATAGATATGTGCATTTGTATCATGATCTGCTTAACAATAGCGGAATGATGGCCATTTTAAGGCCATTTTCACAATTCCAGAACCGAATCTCAGTCATGCATGGATGGATTTTGTTCAGATTTAGCACAATGTGTTGTACATATGCAGGTGCATTGCGGTCATGATCTGCTTTGAATGTATATGTCACTCAAATATGAACGGAACGGGGACGTGTCATTGACAATGACTTGTTGTAAATCATTTTTCCTGAGGTTTATATTGACACGATAATTTTGGTAATTCATTTATCCACGAGTCTTTGCGTCTTTCTCTCAATCATAGCTGATTTATACAGGACATATTGCAATAACTGATAGAAAATGTTATTTCTAAGATATTATTATTATTATTATTATTAATAGGTTGAAACCTCAATATGTATTCAACATTTTGTGTACTGTAAACCAGTTTAATTGCACCGTGTCAAGAGACAAATTTTCTCGAATTTAGCAAGTCAAAAAAAATTGCTAAATATTTTCCTGTCGTACGAACTTTCACAAAATTTTGTCAACAAAATTCATAGATGTAAAAATTAAGCAGTTTACAATATTACAAGTAATTATGTCACTACAGTTAAACACACAACTTCAGATATCAGGAAGATCTATAACTGGGTTGGAGGCTGCACCGCCGTTAAAGAATTCAATATGGCGGACTAGTCATGTGCATTCGAGTTGTTTCCAATCGTCATTTGAAATTTATATAAATAACATTCATAACTTTTTGAAATGTACTGTAATATGATATTCAACAATTGATTTTTAGTGGCCAAGACCAGAGAGACTCCAACACTTATACATTTTGCTGCCAAGTTTGGTCTTCGGGAGTTGTGTGCCCTCTTGATCAATTCTCCTGGTGCTATATTAGCATATGAGATAGAGAATTGTAATGGCGACTACCCGCATGATCTCGCCAGTCAATCTGGCTATGAAGATCTTGCAGTATTTCTCTCAAGTTTTGTGGTGAGTACTGGTACATGCATTACTGAGTTATTATGTATTCTTTGTATGCCATAATTTTACGCACCAAAATGTTGGTGCATCAATTATCAGTACATTCATCATATGAAAATTTCTCCTTAAAACTCTTGTAAGGGGGATTTGGATAATAATACAATCTAAATCCTACTTTAAGCTGATAAACTTTCCTTTGCTGAGTTCCTTTATTAAGAACAGGGACTGATCCATTACCCTGCGGGGAGACATGTAAATAATTGATTAATCCATTATCCTGGATAAAGAAACTTAAATAAGTGATTGACCCATTATCCTGGGTAAAGAAACTTAAATAAGAGATTGATCCATTACCCTGGGTAAAGAAACTTAAATAAGTGATTGACCCATTACCCTGGGTAAAGAAACATAAATAAGGGATTGACCCATTACCCTGGGTAAAGAAACGTAAATAAGGGATTGACCCATTACCCTGGGTGAAGAAACTTAAATAAGGGATTGACCCATTATCCTGGGT